TGACGTGTGCAACATAATCTACATACCAGACACATATCAACGATGTAGATGTTGATAATACGAAGAATGTGACATTGTGTTTTTAAATGTTAAATTTTAGACTGGGTTCAGTGTGGCAGCAACGTTAAGAGTATACACCTGATGATGGCCGATAGAGGCCGAAACATGTAGTGTAGAAAGAACAAGATCAAAGACATATAATATATATTGTTTGCACTTGGGACGGACTTTGTATCATTTGTCCCATAATATATCACGGTAATAAAATTATCAAAACATAGCATTACATAAAATTTCAATACAATTAAAACTAACTTCATAGCAACATGTACATCTGCAAGTCCTTCAAGAGGTATATAAGATTAAAAAGTAAAATCTCTTCTTCATGGACCTCTGGGAAAATGGCTTTTCTCACATTAAATCAAAGATTTCATTGATAGGGCTTATGCAAAATTACAACAGCAAACTTAATCTTCTTATAAGATTTATTTTTATTTATATAAATGATAAAATAATATTATGTAAGTAGTTAAATAAACAGTTTCTACACAAATAAATGCAATTACATATGAAATAAACACTGAATGAAACTTAATCAAGAATCAAAGTGACTATAATGCTTTAAGTGATATGACATCTTTTGCCCAAGTTTATGGTTGTGTGGTAAAGATTTCTACAGAGAGACAACATGGATACCGATTGCTGTTTTCATCACTATTGTGCTAAATCGAGGTGCAAATTCTGAAAGGTAAAAAATTTCTTAGACTAAATGCAGACTCTGCAAATCAAATTTTACTCAATATAGTGAAACACTGACCGCCTCTGTGGTCTAGTGGTCAGAATTCCTGGCTACAGAGCCAGAGGTCCCGGTTTCGATTCCCGGCACTACTACATTTTCTGAGAAGTAGTGGGTTTGGAACGGGGTCCACTCAGCCTTGCAAGGATAACTGAGGAGCTATTTCAAGGAAATAGTGGCTGTGGTCTAGAAAACAGAGATTAAAGACTGTGGAAATCTGCTGCACTGACCATTTGACACCCTCTATCCACAAAGATTGGGACTAACTTCGCCGACATGCAGCGGTCGCTAGGTCAGTATAGGTCATTTGTGGACTAAAAGCCATGGAGTTTTTATAGGGGAACAATGCACTGCTTAACTGGGCTTTGGCTCAAAGCAGGGACACTAATCAGAATCAGACAGTCGGCCAGGAAATGAGAACATCTACCTAACTCCACTTCCACGTCTGAACTGTACCTCAAGATGTGCGTAAAGAGACCATCTGTCCACTCCCGTGTGTTTGGATCCAGGACCCCATACAAGGCCTCTTTGGAAATGGCCTTTGGATCAATGACGTGGGCCACACCCTCAGTCCCCTCATAACGTTCAAGGGCTTTCAGAAGAACCTTCCAAGCAGCTGTTTTGCCAGAGCCACTGGGGCCAACCATCATCAGCCCGTGGTTGAGATTGCAGATCTGGTACAACTGGAGAACCTGTCCACACAGAGCCACACAGTCAGTGTCCTCTTATGCAGCTGCAACTGCACCGCCTTGATACTCACATGATCAGTTCCTGTCTCGCAGGAAACACAGTATAAGGAACATTAGTTGTAAGTGCTGTTTATAGATATAATTAGTGTTTATTCTTAGAATCATATATAAAACACATTAATATGCTGTGTGGGCAAAATTCAGCATTTTTTAATGTTAAAAGTAGGTGGCATATATAGTAACCACTGTGCTTTAAAGGGACAATCTGAGATAACTCACAGTTTAGATGAAGTAACCAGGATATAATCTGAATGTACATACACAAAAGAAGATATAAACATCACACATATAAATCTAAAGACAAAGAGGAGCCAAGTTTTTGGCAGGGCTCTCAGCCACTTGCCACACTCCACAACTGTACCATGACAATGTACAGACTATAACAATATTAATCTTGTCTAAAGCACTAGACTTCGCTGTTCTGGAAGGTCATGGGATTCATTCCTGATGAGATCATTGGGTTTTTCAAATGACTTCATCCTTTCAGCCATGCTATGGCCCTGGGATAGACCAAGCCTCTAACAGAAATGAGTACTAGGAATCTTCATGGGGGAAAGGGGGGCCAGCACATAAGGCTGACAATCTCACTGCCATCTGTTAGCCAACTGTCTAGGAAATATGGCAGCCTCCATGGCCTGTTCCTGGGATAGCTTAACCTTGTTAGGCATGACAGCCATTTTGTTTATCATATTCTACTGCGTTACAAGCAGCAAAGAGCTAAAAACACTTTCAGTGACCCTCTCAATCATTGTTCAGTGGTTATAGCAGACAATACTATGCACTGGTACTTTATACTCATGGCAGTTAAGTCACACTTTAGTGGTAAAGTCCTTATGAAGATGAATTATCTTCACTACAATAACACAAATCAGAAATCACTGAACAATGAAACAAGTTTCTCGGACAAATGATTTCTTGATACTGATATATGTTATTATTTTAGTTACTGATGTTAATAATGTTGAAGTTAGCATGATTTTTACTCTATACACAATTTTAAAGGCAAAACACATCAAAATTAGAAAACAATTAGAATAATTTAGAAGATTTGTGGGAACAGAGTGAAACTGAATTGTAAGCACAAACTAACATGAAGGTTGCAATTACATCAGCAACATCATCTTTTTCATACTGCAAACATGCACACTCTTATGTTTCGGCAAACATGCGAACAGGGATTACAAACTTGTCAAGAAAGGGAATTTATTACAATAACATTCAACATATCAAGATTTCATTACAGCGACACTTCATACTTAATAACTACACATTTACCCAAATGATCACAAGCAACAAGTAATATGAAACCTATTGAGGTCACATTGCTCTGGGATGTGATGCCGTGTAGTTCGGGAGATTGGCACCAAAGTCTGTGGTCTGATTAAGTCATGAGCTACAAGTCATAGCACATTAGTTCTAAACAGCAAACCAACAGCATTACTGACAGAATCACCATCATTAACATTGATGTGTTACATAAGGATCCACACAATGACCAGAACATACACTCATACATCCAATTAAACTTGCCAGAAGTATGTTCAATAGTTTTTTGTATATGCTGAGTCAAGTGTGAGATTCTGTATATCAGAATGTAAGAAACTTCTTATCTGGATCAATTATGCCACAGCCAGATATACAGCAATTTACATTACGTATTCTACTATGTCTCAGAGAATTAAACCCACATAAATTTACCTGTAAACACCTAAACAAGGTAACGATTTTACTCATTCTGCAGAAGTTGATCTACCCAGCACTGCCCAGGTGTAATGCATGTACAAAATTAGAAAGTGTAACATACTGAAAGTTTTACAGATCTTACAGATATTCATATAAAGTAACAGCACTGCAAGGAAACAATCCAATTCATTACAGTGCAAGTCCTCATATTTCTGTTAATTTTTAAAAACAATTTATTTTTTTTGAAAATTCAGAATGAAATATATCAAAAATAGTAACAGACAGACAGAGTAGCTGTGACTTCCCTTCTCCAAGCTCCAAAGAACCCCCCCCCCCAAAAAAAACCCTCAATACATAAGGGCAAATGGTTTCTGAACAATGATCAAAATAACTATTTGGGTGGGGGGGGGTCCAAAAAAATCTGGAGGTGGTGAGGACAACTGTCTAAAACCTCTCTTGGGTGGTTCTCGACCATTATGCCAAATTTGCTCAAACGGATTCACTGTGTGGAAATGTACACACAACAGACAGACAGACACAAACATGCACACATGAACATACGAGCAGGCATGCCCGAGCACAAGCATACTACTTGTAGAGACATAACAGATACTGTCATGTTGCACCAGCAGATGGCCACTTTCAAACTTATTCACACCTATACATTTGTTTCTTTCAAACTCATTAACTTTGATTTTCATATATTCCTCCTAATGGCTGAAAGTCTGCTACAGTTTCATGTTTCAGACTGTTCCACTTATTTCCATCCCAGGTTCTGCAACCACCACAATTTAGTCACTTTCCTTTGATTTACCACTATTCCAATCACAGTCAAACCATGGATTACTTTGCTAGAAACTCAGTGTTTGATGGACATTTCCCTATAATTTCTGATGCTTTGCTGAGCACCATTAATAACCTCTCATATCATAACATTTCAAAACCAACGAAAATCATAACATAATACAGCTCCAAAACATCTATAATAATTAAATTTGTTCTAATAATTTTTATCATTCTATGCACTACTGACTCAATTTATTTTCAAAATGTATTTCTTTAAATACTGAAAATTAATTTGATGTCTTGGAGTTCTGAAGGACATTTTACCTCACCCACCACAACAAATGGAACATTATCTTACATTACACTTCGGTAACAACCCCGCAAAATGCCATGTAATTTGGAGCTTTGCATGGAGAAATTACAGCAACAAATACAAGAACCACTAAAACTGCTGGCATGTTCAGAATTGGAGATGATGAAACAAATAAAATTTATCTTCAGCCTGCTGCTTGTCCTACAGTCAGTGCAACTACAGAACACATACAAAACGAAACTATTTACTTCTACAGAAAAAACTACTATTTGAACCACATGAAAGCAAAGGGCAGGGTGAAAACAATTCCTTTACATTCACACAAATGGCACACAGTACACCTACAATAGGCCACTACAGGGTGGATGTTCAAAGAATTGGGGTTCAATTTCAAACAAGGACATGGGATTCTTGTCCTCTCCACACCATTGAGACCAGCTCTGGGGCCCAGGGGGTTAAGCAGTCACAGTGTAAGGTTCACCACACATTAAAGGTTAATGAGTAAAGCTATCTTCACTCTCACATGTCTTCATGCAGCAGCGCTTAACTAAACTCTGGGCAGCTTTACACTGACAAGGCATGTACTGCCAGAAGACAATTCAAGAACATTTCAGCACTTCACATTTAAACTACTATGTTAAATCCTCAAAATTCATTAGTACAAGACATGCGTACTTGGTGATACTTTCACACAAAACTAAAGTACAGTTATCGCATCTCGCATTGAAACTGGAGCCCAGAAGGCACAGTGGTTTATTGGTTCAGCAGTCTGTGCAGTTGGGGAGCAAATGATCGTTGCATGCTTGAGAATTCAGGGTTAAAATAATCCGTTGCCTGACGCTTGCTTTCAGCAATGAAACGTGTGTGCAAATGCAAGCAAACTACAGCAAATCTTGCGATAAAACTCTCGTAATGGGGAACAGAAAGTTCTGACCAAAAAGCTAGGTACTAAACATACTGCTATAGGACCAGCAGATCTAAACCCTTCAGCTGGGAGCAGAGCAGTACCTTTGTTTTTACAGCCTGGGGGATTCTCCCCCTCCCTTCTCCAGTCAGGAAGTGACTGTACTGCTCAGGTAAACAGAGTTGTCACATTATGCGCACACCGGACGGCTTTACTGCCCACCATCTTCTGACTACAGCGTCAAGTGCCAGGTGACAGTCAACAGAGAGGGAAGATGATTTTTCCCAAAAGCAGACGTGGCAGTGGAAACACCACTTGCAGTTCGCATATTTTCTGCAGTTTTAGATGTGTTGGCGACATTTTAATCGTCTGGATATCTGGTGTGGCAATTTCAGTACAAAGCAAGGAAGGCTGTGAGAACAGATTCTTGCACATTCATACACTATCCTTCACAACACATTGTACTCACCTTCTCAACCCAAGTCTCGCCTATTGTTCCCTTTGGTATGTACATAGAGAATTCGGAGAGAAATACAACTACCATTAACCACTACTCATATATAATACAATTTTTGATCAATCAAAATTTCAATCTAGAGCATTTCTGTTGGAAAACTAATTTGCTGCATTATCAAGTTATGCACCAACAAATGCAGACTTACTTTCTCCATCCAGGCGCCTCCTTGCTCTTCTCCCTCGCCACACACCAAATACTCCTCTTGACACACCTTCCGGATCTGGTCCTTCAAACCTATGAATAGAGGAGCACATGACATGACAGCCCCACAAGACTGAGAAGTCCTTCAGTAGGTTCCAGCATCGAGTTACTTCACTGAGATGAATGTGTTTCCACCGTAGCGTAGTTGGTTGAGGGGCTATCCTACAAGCCGGAAGGTTGCGGGTTCAAGTCCCGATGAGGTCACTGGATTTTTTTCAGTTGACCTAATCCTTCTAGCCGCACTAGGCCCTGGGGTTTACTGAGCCTCTAACAGAAATGAGTACCAGGAATTAATTAAATGATTTTCCTGGGGAGTAAAGCGCGGCCGGCATGTAAGGCTGACAACCTTATCGCCATCTATGAGCCGACTGTCAAGGTAATGTGGGACCCTCAACGTCTCACAACCCTATGGGCCTTCACTGCCTGGTACAGGGATAGCTTTGCTTCTTTCCCCCCCCCCATACTCCACACACACACACTGACGTTCTCATGGTAGTGACTCTCCCCTGTGATGTGAAATCATGTAGTCTGGTAGATTAATGACATGTTTTGGAAGAACCTGATGCCACCTCCTTCTTCAGGGTCTTCAGGGCAGAATATGACAGGCAGTTGGATAACATCTACCAAACTATATGGCGTCATATCATAGAAGAGAGGAATTCTTATGTTACTTAGTCTTCATGTTCTCCTATATAAGTTAAACAGAAGGGGCATTACTTCTAGGGGCACAGAAGTTGTGGGCTTATATTGGGAGAGTTTCGTGGGTTACTGTACGAGGGGGGACCCAAAAATAACCGGAACCGACCTGTTGTGCGCGCATGCTTTGTAGTTACGAGTTGTGCTGCTAGGTGGTGTTAGCTGGGGGTCTCCCGCGACTATTAGTGAGCTGGCGTCAGTCTGAGTTAAGTGGTTTGTCTGTGGTGCTCTGTTGTGTGCGTTCCTGTTTCAACCCTTTGGCGATTAGTGAGATGGCCGACCAGAAGGAACAAAGAGTGTGCGTGAAATTT